GTTCTTATTCACGGAGTAGCTTCTTTCCTCTTTGTTCTAAATTCCTCCCATTTCTTCCATTTTGTATAATAGACCTCCATCTTATCCTCCTGTATATAATACAGTTTCTCCATTCTAACAATCTGATCCACTCTGGCTATCCAATCATCTACCTCCGGTGCCTCCACTTTACGCCAGAACCTAGGTATCAATCTGCATTAAGCTGCATTTAAGTAGCACTCAATACCCATATTCCTAAATGTTTTCATTGATATTTCTGTGATATGAAAAAGGCATGTCTCGGGGTCCAAACCAATCTCAATTTCAGTGATATTCCTAATTTGATTTACAACCTTCCTCCAGTAAACTTGTATTTTTGGGCATCCCCACCACACGTGATACGTTGTGCCCCCCCTCTCCACATTCTCGCCAACACCCAGGTTGTTTCTCACTACTCATTTTGTGCTCTACCCTCGGAGTGATATACCACCTACTTTTATAGTTCAATTCCACCTCCCGCATACTAACATTTCCATGTACCATTCTATATATTTTTCTTTCTGTTTGTTCCTCCCACTCTACCCCCAAATCCTTTTCCCATTTTTCTATATATCTTAATTTTACCTTACTATCTAAATCAGTGAGAATTCTATATGTTTTAGCAGTGTTGTGTTTCCCATCACCTCGAACTTCAAAAAATTTCTCAAATAAATTCCAATCTTTTCTAATTCTAAGGGGCTTCGTCAATTTCCCCACGAATCGTTTTAATTGATTATACCTCCATATATCTATTTTAGTGAAAATCCCTCCCTCTTCTTTTTTCAAATCCTCTAGTGTTCGTAAGTTTACCCCCTCCATTACATCTCTCAACTGAGCATCCTCTTTCTTAATCCATTTACCCGTAATTTCCTCTTTACCTGGGGGGAAAAACTCTGAATTTCTTAATGGCATTAACAGTGAGTTAAAATCCCAATTCCTCTGTTTGTGCAATCTATCCCATTCTTTCAAAACAATCCTAGTGTATGGACTTGTGCTCTCAGCTAATTCTCTAAACTGTGTTGACACCCAAACAATCCCACTCAAATCTTTCCCACTAAGTGTATTTTCTATTGTGACCCAATTTTTACTCTTTATATTATGTTTCCAGTCAAAAATTCTTGATAAGATCACTGCTCTATAATACCTTTTGAGATCCGGCACTCCTACCCCCCCCCCCTTTTCTTTATTTCTACTAAGCACGTCATATGATACTCTAGGTTTTTTATTTTTTCCATATATATCTTGTTACCATTTGCTTAATTGTTCTAAAGTATGTCCCTGGGAGTTTAATGGGAATCATTTGGAGTTTTATACAAAACCTTAGGGAGAATTACCATTTTTATTAGGTTAATACGACCTAACCACGAAGGATTCCCTCCTCCGATTCTCTTCAATTCCTCCCTAATTTCATTTAGCAATGGTATATAATTTGCTTTATAGAGATTTTTCTGTGAAGAAGTAAGTTTTACTCCCAAATATTTTATTTCTCTATCTTTCCATATAAAGGGAAACTCTCTCTGTATCATTTCTTTTTCGCTCTTTGGAAGGTTTATATTTAATATCTCTGTTTTACTCGGATTAATTTTTAGGTTTGCCAATTCCCCATATTCCTTCAATGTTTCCCCACGAATCATTATCACTCAATTCTGCAAGTGGTTCTAATTTACCATCACTGTTCTCTAGCTGGTCTAAAACCGCTTTTGACCTAAAGGGACACTTTTTAGACACCATGGACGTTTCTCAGTTTCCAGGCAGAAAGAACAGGCAGGGCACAGGACAAAGCACTAGGGACAAATGTATGTGAAATGGTTTGATACAGTAATGTTATACTATGTGATTTTAGTGTATTGAGTGAATGTCACTTTTTGTCATTTTCAAATTTCCCGCCGTTCCGTCCCCCGTACGTCCCGACGCTCGCAGGGGATGGAACCCAGATGACAGATGCCGGCATCCGCCGGATTACATTACCAGGGACACCGCAGGAGGGACATCGCGGGAGAGCAGAACAAGACAAGTGAAGAACAGATGCCGGAGCAGTGTCGCATGGTAAGCCCGAGTGTAGCTCGGGGTTACCGCTTTTGGTACTGAAAGTTTACCCCGAGCTACACTCGGGAATACCGTCAGGGAGGTTAAGGGACTACATGTCAACTTGCTATCTAATATATCCCACCAAATATTACATGCCAATGTAATGAGATCAATGCTATTCACTTAACCTCTCAGTGGTCATCAAGTTGTGGCTGATCAGTACATATGTGTATGTAATGCACGAACCGTGAATTCGTGAACTTTTTTATTTCCTGTTTTGATCAGAAATGTTTTCTGCTGCGGTATTTTGAGAGGGAGCTGATGCTACAAAGAAAGAAATTGGCCACTCAGCTACTGGTTAGCTAAAGTTATAGGTTAAGCAAATTCATTACAAAATGTACAGTATTTGCCCATTATTATAGTAATTGTGGTTTAATGAAACTCAAAAGGACTGTATTATAGGAATAAAAAAAAAACTGCTGCAGGTTTAAAGTGAAGGAATCTTGAGGTCCCTGCACATATCCTCAACAGCCTTCAATATCTTGCTGTTATAACCAGACACCAGGCGAAGACTTTCAGTGTAGTGTTGAAGTTTGCTGTTACCGCTCAATACATTTTAACAGACTCTTCACTGTATGGGAAGCCTCACTGATAATAGAAATGGAGCCAGGAAGGGGTAGGCTAGCTTCTTCACTATCAGGCCTGTTAGAATGGCCTGGTAGTTGGCATTACTAGCAAAGTTTTGGAGACTCCTGTAGTTATGTGCAAGCACCTCATACCTGTAATGGTCTTGTTTTTTGTTTTGTCATGACAGGGCCTCTTTAACCACTTGACCTCCGGAAGGTTTTACCCCTTTTATGGCCAGGGCATTTTTTGCTATTCAGCATTGTGCTGGTTTAACTGGCAGTTGCTCAGTCATACAACGCTGTACCTAAATTAAATTTGAATCCATATTTGTTTATATAAATAGAGCTTTTTTTGGTGGTATTTGATCACCAGTGGAGTTTTCATTTTTATTACATAAATAACAAAAGACCAAAAATGGTTTAAAAAAAAAAAAAAGCAATATTTTTTACTTTCTGTTATAAAACATATCCAATAAAATCAATAATCTTCATAAAGTTTACGCCAAAATATATTCTGTTTTATGTCTTTGGTAAAAAAAAACGCTAAAAAATCCCAGTAAGTGTATAATAGCTGGTTGTGTGAAAGTTATAGTGTCTACAAGCTATGGTGTATATATACTGGAATTTCCGAAGCTATAGACACTATACTAGCCATGGCGGTGATTAGCGACTTATAGTGTGGCGTGCAATCTGGCACTAACAGACTGGGAGGGACCCTAACTGACACTGACGTCACTACTGACATTAAGCCCTGGTTCACACTGATGCAAATTTTCATGTGATTCGACCATTCGGATCGCATGACAAATCGCATCCAATGATCGCCAGTGGAACCATTCTAATCGGAGCGAATGCGACTTCAGGGTTATACCAATCAGAAAAGTACTTTTGCCGATTTGGGGTGCGACTTGCATAGATATCTGGGCATACAGCTGCACAGATGTCTATGAAGTCGCACCCGAAGTTGCACTACCATCTGACTGAAATCATGTGACCTCAAGTGAAGTTGCAGGATTTCAAAGTCAGATCCAGTGTTAACCAGGGCTAATACAATGATCTGTAATAATACTGTACAGCAGAGATTTCCAGCCAAGGTTCCATGGAACTCTAGGATTCCTCCAGAGGTTGCTAGGGGTGCCTTGAGAAATTAGCAATTTCTACCTCTCAGAAAAGTTCCTACTGACACCAATGATCTTTTTAACTATCAGTAGGGGGGGGGGATTCTTCCCAATGACCACAAGTGTAAGGATCATTCTTCCCACTGACATCACAGTAATGTATCATGAATTGTAGATATAGTCATTTTTAGTAGGGGTTTCCTGAGGCAGAAAAGTTATTTAAAGGGTTCCTCTTTGTTGGAAAGGTTGAGAAAGGTTACTGTACACTGTACTTGTGCCACTCCCTGGGAAGGGGAAGTGGCAATCAAGGGGTTAACTGTGTGCCTATCAAGTGTAATGTGGCATAATATCTTTGAGGGTTTTCAGGAAAAAGAAACAGCCGGATCGCTGTATGTGTACAGAGTTCTATGTGCTAGTCACAACTCTGTGCTGTGAATGCCCACAGCCGATCATCACAGACAAAAACCTTCGGCAAAATTCGCTGACAGACTCATGCTGTGTCCAAACACAGCACAGGTCATCAGGAAGCTTGCGCATGCACGCAGTGGCAACGTACAGGTACTTTGCCTAGCTAGCAGTGCCATCCGTTTGCGGGCGGGTGGCAAGCTGTTAAAAGCTAAGTTCATCTTTACAGAAAAATATAAATAAATACACAGATTTTTGCAGAAAAAAACACATGCTTTTATTTTTTTTTTCCTGCAGACCTGTCCTCTTTCAGCCTGTACCTCTGTAGGGGCTTTCTGTTTGAAAGTTTGAAAGTGGACACGAAAATGCTCATCAGTACCCTGCAACCCATTGAAACTACAACTTGCAATTTATTCATTCATAAGTTTTTTTTTTTTTTTTTTTTTTTTTTTTTTTTTTTTTGAGGGCGGTGCCTTGCATGGGCAAATACAGGTTCAAAGGTGAACGTATCCTTTAAGCTTCAATAAACTCACAATTACATAAATAATTAATCTATAAGAGATCTGCATGGACTGTGAACCTGAACATACTGCTCCCCAGCAGCAAAGTGGCAAAGCATGCTTCCCAAGCACAAGTAGACAAAATTAAAGGTTTTCTTAGTAGTGTTTTTCTCTGGGTGCCTTCACTTAATACCTGCAGCAGTTTTTCCCTCCTTAAGATCCAGTAAAGGTTTGGAAAAGAGAATATGCATGTTAAAGCAAACATGGCTTTGATCTTCTTTTAATGTTTATTTTCTGCTTTTTAGGAACAGTTTGAAGTGCAAATAAAACAGGTCAAAAGTGGGACTAAATTAGGCAACCTTCCTTCAATACTGGCTCCAAATCTGCCGCCTCCTCCCTCTGATGTAAGTAATATTTACTCTATTAATTCATTACCAGCTCATGTCGCTGGCTTTTAGCTGACATTGGTAGGGAAATAAATACCAGGAGCTAAGCAAAAAATGTTTTTCAAGTGTATCTAAAATTTTTTTTATTTTACTTTGTAAAGAGTGGGGAAGAGCCAACACTTCTGTCATGCTTTTATTGTTGTCTGTGTCCCTACATGCAGAGGTGATTCACCTCCTTTGTGTCCTTGTGATCATTGTCATAGGGGCAGACAGCAAAAACCAATGCGATTTATCCAGGTTAACCATTTTTTTATTTTATTTTTTTGCTGTATGATTTACATCACACTTTCAGTGAGCATAATGTAGAGGGTGTGGGCAGGGATGCAACATTTTTCTGGGTATCAGGTCCAGAACTGTTTTTTTCTGCTGTCCAATTATAAGGTAAGGCGGGAAAGTTTTGTTCAATTTTAAATCGGATCTCCAGATTTTAGTAAACTTTTTAAATATTTGGTTTGGACCAAGCTGGTCCAAACCAACTATTTACTTCACTAAGAGATGCAGCGGCTATGAGTGCTGTATAAACTGTATGTTGCCTAAGCTACATAGAGTATACAGCGCTGTGTTCCAGCAACAAAACGTGAACTTGCCACCCCGCTCCTGAAACAAAACAGAGGTGAGCAAATGCTGCTTAGCATTTCACAGGGTGTTTTGTATTCTGTGAATGAATACAAAGCTTCTTCTGATTGGTCGAAGCCGAGAGGCGGGTGGAATAATGACAAAGTCTCCACTTCAGCCAATCAGAGGAAGGTTTTTATTCATTCATAGAATACAAAGCTTCCTGTTAATGGCTGACTCGATTTGGTTCTGGGGGCTGAACAGGAAGTCCTCATCCTGCTGCCGAAACACAGCGCTGTATATTGTATGTGAAGCTGTATTTGTTAGTGAAGTAAATAGTTTGTACCAGCTTGGTCCAAACTACAACATATTTAATGTTCACTGAAACCTGGAGTTATGCTTGAAATATTTCCTAGCTCCTTTTTTTATGTACAGTATCCTGCTTTGTCACACCTGGCCTTTCTTAAAAAGTTTGACAAATGAATACTGACACTTTGTTTAAAGATAAATAAATGGATCATTTCAAGTCAATATAACTGTATCCTGGCCCATGCAGGCCTTAAAAAGTGTATACATCTATTTGTGTAATTGAAACAGCTCTTGGTCTTCTGTGTTTACTTTTCAGTTTTCCACATCTTTTATATCATAAAATAATATCTTCAAAACATTGTCAGTTATTGAACTCTGCTTAGTATTACGTTAATAAATATGACTTCATGGTGAAAAAGGAAAAATATATTTTGTATTACATTGTTTTTGTGCTCTCTGGATTGTTTATGCTTCTTATTCTTTTACAGCCCAACCTCATGCTACAAAAAGTTGCATTTGCAACTCCTCCAATGCCCAGCCAAGGCCCAGCTGTTCCATTATCAGCACCAATACCATCTAAAGACCATGCATTCCAGCAGCCATTTCTTGGTCCAACATCGTATCTTTATCAGCGCCCACCTCCATTGGCATTTACTCCAGGGAACTTCATGGGTCCCTTACAGTCAGCTCCAAGGTTATCTGGTATATCTGACCCTCACAGCAGTACTGATATTCCAGGGCCCCCAAGTACAGACAAGCTAAACAAGATTCTGGAGAAGCTGCAAGCCAGGTTTCCACAGTGCAACAAGTGGGTTGTTTGAATCATTTTGTGACGGAGTGAAAAAACAAATATATATCAATATAACAACACTGCCATTCACCTTTGGCAATTACAAATGTTATCAAATTAAAATGCTTAAAAATACAATCTATTATATCATGCACAACAAATATATCACAGTGGCATAAATACATTCTTGCATTCAGATAACCGTAACACACAAAAAAGGTTTTGATTAATTAACAGTTTTTGTGCTTTTGCTGTCATGAGTATTAAAAACCCCAAATGTGAAAAACCATCTTCCAACACATCACTCCCTGTTTTTACCACCCCTTGACTTCTTGTGTGAATGAGGCCTAAGACTGAATCTCACCCTTTATCAATTACTCCTATCAATACAGAAGGTATGAAAATGCAGTTGGTATAAAATAACCTCCAATCAAATATAGAAACATAGAAGAGTTATAGCAGTAAAAAAACAAGTGGTCCTTCAAGTCTATCAAAACTATTTCATACAGTGCCTTAAAGTATTCAAACCCCAAGAAATTTTACATTTTGTCATGTCACAACCAAAAATATAAATGTATTTTATTGGGATTTTATGTGATAGGCCAACACAAAGTGGCACATAATTGTGAAGTGGAAGGAAAATTGATAAATGGTTTTCAGAATTTTTTTTACAAATAAATGTCTGAAAAGTGTGGTGTGCATTTGTATTCAGCTCCCTTTACTCTGATACCCCTAACTAAAATCTAGTGGAACCAATTGCCTTCAGAAGTAACCTAATTAGTAAATAGAGTCCACCTGTGTGTAATTTAATCTCAGTATAAATACGCTGTTCTGTGAAGCCCTCAGAGGTTTGTTAGAGAACATTAATGAACAAACAGCATCATGAAGGCCAAGGAACACACAAAAGACTTGAGACTGGGGCGGAGGTTCACCTTCCAGCAGGACAACGACTCTAAACATACAGCCAGAGCTACAATGGAATGGTTTAGATCAAAATATATTCATGTGTTAGAATAGCCCAGTCAAAGTCCAGACCTAAATCCAACTGTGAATCTGTGTTAAGACTTTAAAAATTGCTAATAACAGACACTGTCCATCCAATCTGACAGAGATTGAGCTATTTTGCAAAGAAGAATGGGCAAAAATATCACTCTCTAGATGTGCAAAGCTGGTAGAGACATCCCCAGCTGTAATTGCAGCGAAAGGTGTTTCTACAAAGTATTGACTCCGGGGGGCTGAATACAAATGCACACCACACTTTTCACATATTTATTTGTAAAAATTTTTGGAAACCATTTATAATTTTCCTTCCACTTCACAATTATGTGCCACTTTGTGTTGGTCTATCACATAAAATCCCAATAAAATACATTTACGTTTTTGGTTGTCACATAACAAAATGTGGAAAATTTCAAGGGGTATGAATACTTTTTCAAGGCACTATAACTATAGCCTCATTAATAACTGGGGGTGCACCGAAGTTCGGCCGAAAACACCCCTATTGGCCGTTGGCCAATATGAAAATAAACACCGATACAGGTGCCGAAAATAACCCCCTCGCCGCTGCTGCCCGGAATTATAACAATTTTGTCACACTAATTTACAGCATGCTTTTCCAGGCCTGTGACTTAAAAGTACTTCATTCAGAAGCATCTAGTCAACTAGTATTTTAAAAAGGAGGCCAGCAATTGCAGTCCTTTTCTGTTTTTCATGGCTGAGTTACTTTAAACATTTAGAGTGTTTTTATATTGTTTTATTTAAATGACTACCAAAATAAATGAAGAAAATTGTCTTCCTGTTTGGTAAATGTAAAGATTGTATGTAGATACTGTAATTTTTTTTTATTTCCAGTCAACAGGTGGAGCCATAGGTTCCTTTTTTAACATGTATTCCAGGCTATCCTTACCTGCTTTTCTAAAAAAAAATACTTTTTGATTACATAGCCTTATTGCTAAAATGTACACACACTTGTTCAGATAGACCTTTATCAAGTTTCAACTTTGATGTGTAATATTGTTTGCCTGGTCTTTTTAAGGGCACAGTTGACTGACATTTTGCAGCAAGTTAAGTTGAAACGTGGAACACTTGCTGGTCTTACTGTGGAAGAACTGTGCCACCTTGTAGCTACACAGCTGCAGGAACCACTACTAAGAGAAGCTTCAAATCCAGCTCTTAAAGTTACACAGGTCAGTTTTATCTCGGGATATAAAGTTAGACCTGCTTAGATTACACTGTTCAACAAATTTTTATTTTTTGCCAGTTTTGGAAACAAAAGGATCCAATTCTTAATGAATTTCACATTCTGAGTTCAAATATAACAATGAAATTTGTCAATTGGCTCTAGTTTTTCTGTAAACGGAAAGTTTTTTCTCTATAGGCGTAATGACTACATAATGCACAATAATTATATAGATAGATGTCTTTCCACAAATATAAAGCAAGTGATATTGACTACATAACAAAGCCTAAATGGCATAATATATTGCATAGGATTACCAAGAAAAATTATAGCCATAAGCTAAGTTGAATCATTTTAATACTTAGGATTCTCACTAGTTTTGTCTTCAGTTTGTGTCGGTTTTGCTTCTCTTGGCTTTTCTCTTGTATTCGAGGAAAGGGCTATCTCTTACAACTGCACGTGACTACACGCTTCAGGTTCTTCCTCACTTGACTCAACCACGAAGGATTCTGGTGCTTTAGGAATTGGTAGCCCCTCTCCATGAGGAACTGGACGTATTGCCGATGGAATATTTGGATAGTGCACAGATAACTTTTTCTTCTTATTTAGCCCTTTTACAATTGGAGGCACCATACAAAAGTAACAATTACTAACATGATCTGTTAGCTCTCTCCAAATCATTGGCACAGCGAAAGGCATAGATGCCTTTTTTCCATTCAACCATTGCTCCAGTGTCGTCCCACAAGAATTGCAGCATATATGTGGTGCCCAGCTCTTGTCCTGGTCTCCTATCTTGCAGCCAAAATACAAGTTGTAGGCTTTCTTAATCATTCCTGTTATCCTCCTTTTTTGTGAGATAAGTTATTTCACCGCAGATATAGCAGAAATTATCTGCTTTATTCACACAAGTTCGAAGCATTACTGAGTAGCCTATATAAGCATAAAACGAAATGTAAAGACGCTGTCGAACTACAATCAGCTACAGATACTGCAGCTTTTATGCAGTGAAGTGATGCAATTAAAGGCTAATATTGCATCATCTCAGTATACATGCAATTTTCTATTGGTCACCAGTATCAATTGCGCAATATGCAGCTGAAGTTGCATCATAATTTTGAATGGCTTACGTCATTAGATGGGTGAATATATCATGGAAACTAGAGCCAATCAACATTTTTTAGGGTCATTTTCGTTTTCAGCACCCCAAAATTATGTAAGATTAGCTAATTTTATGCCCAAAACTTTTTACCTGTTGAACAGTGTTATTATGAATAATAATAAAATACTTCCATTACTGCTACTGCCTTCAATATAGGGAAGTGGTAATATGTCCAGATAAGGTTTCTCTCAATTTCACACCATTTAGGCTTCCGCCATTGCATGCATATGACAGTTTGGGTACATTTAGATATTTTCACTGCAGTGCAGCTCGTTAATAATCCTTAGAAACAGATGACTCATCAGCCTTTCAGGTCTAGTATGGATTTTTAAGAGGAACCCGCACCAAAATAATAATTAAAAAAAAAAACGGTGAGGTGTTTCCCCCCCTCCCCAAATCCAATCCACACCAGACCCTTAGGTTTAGTACGGATTTTGAAGGGAACCCCATTTTTAAAAAAAATGGTGGGGGGGGGATTTGGGTCCTCTCCAATATCCATACCAGACCCTTATTCGAGCAGGAAATGGGGGGGGACTAGTGACATCTATGCCAGACCACATGCCACAACTTGCCCCCCCCCCCCCTCCCCCAAGCATCTTGTCCCCATGTTGATGGACAAGGACCTCTTCCCCATACTTCATTCACCAAAAAAAGTGTCAAAAATAAATAACACAGACAGTTTTTTGACAAGTCCTTTTTTTGAAAAAAAAAAAAAAAAAAAAAAAATATATATATATATATATATATATATATGTGTGTGTATATATTGTCCGCCATAAATCCAGTTTCAATTACAATGATTGCCGTCAACCCAGAAAAAAAAGAGCTCTGCACCTGACACTGGCTCCCACCGTTTAACAGCTACTCCGCCTCTGGTCGCTAAATAAACAAAAGGCGTGGGTCCGCCCGGTGACATCACCAGGTGACCCAGCCCCTTTGTGACTTCATCGACCCGGCATGAACTTATCTAAGGTGTCTGTTTATAAATGTTTTCACACAAGATTCACACATTTTTTAACTAATTAGAAAAATGTATGAATCCTGGTTAAAAGTTGGTTGACTCTTGCATGAAAACCATTATAAAAGTCTCCTAACTGTTAAAGTACCGTATTTTGCGCTCCATAAGACGCACCTGACCATAAGATGCACCTAGGTTTTAGAGGTGGAAAACAAGAAAAAAAAAATATTCTGAACCAGTGGACTGCAGACGCAGTACAGGAGATGATCAGAGACTGCGGACATAGTACAGGAGATGACCAGAGACTGCGGACACAGTACAGGAGATGACCAGAGACTGCGGACACAGTACAGGAGATGACCAGAGACTGCGGACACAGTACAGGAGATGACCAGAGACTGCGGACGTAGTACAGGAGATGACCAGAGACTGCGGACGTACTACAGGAGATGACCAGAGACTGCGGACGTACTACAGGAGATGACCAGAGACTGCGGACGTACTACAGGAGATGACCAGAGACTGCGGACACAGTACAGGAGATGACCAGAGACTGCGGACAATATAGGGGATGACCAGAGACTGCGGACAGTATAGGGAATGACCAAGAGACTGCGGACAGTACATTGGATGACCAGAGACTGCGGACACGGTGCAGGAAATGACCAGAGACTGTGGACACGGTGCAGGAGATGACCAGAGACTGCGGACACGGTGCAGGAGATGACCAGAGACTGCGGACAGTACAGGGGATGACCAGAGACTGCGGACAGTACAGGGGATGACCAGAGACTGCGGACACGGTGCAGGAAATGACCAGAGACTGTGGACACGGTGCAGGAAATGACCGGAGATTGTGGACACGGTGCAGGAAATGACCAGAGACTGCAGACAGTACAGATGACCAGAGACTGCAGACAGTACAGGAGATGACCAGAGACTGCAGACAGTACAGGAGATGACCAGAGACTGCAGACAGTACAGGAAATGACTAAGAGAATGACCTTTGGGGAGAGAGGGGGAGCGGGTACCTGAATTTGACAGGTACCCGCTCCCACTTCCGCGTAGTTGTCCTACCTTTAGTTGACAGCCGGGTGCCCAGTGCGCATGCACGAGAAGCGCTGCACCTTGTGATTGGTCCGGCATCTTCTGGGACCTGTCATGTGTCCCAGAAGACGCCATACTGTTCACAAAGCGCAGCGCTTCTCGCGCATGTGCACTGGGCACCCGGCTGTCACAGCCTTCTCAGCGCTGGACCGAGGAACAGGTAAGGTCCTGCTGCAGAGAAGAGACGAGCGGCCGGCACGGTATTCTGACGCGGCGGCGGTGGGAATACCGGACCGGCCACTCTATATTTGCTCCATAAGACGCACTGACATTTTCCCCCCCTTTTTTGGGGGGAGAAAAGTGCGTCTTATGGAGCGAAAAATACGGTATTTGTTTCATTATTTTCTTTAGTTATGCACACTAATGTTTTCTGTTGCTATTTGGATCTTTTGGGGTTTTGTTTTCTTTTGTTATGTGCACTAGAACAAATTCTGTTGAAATTGTGTATAATAACATACAGTCAAAAGTAATATATTAATTTGAATGCTTTAAAGATTATGTAAACCCAACATTTCATATTCCTGATCTGTGCCTGCTGTACAATTTACTTGTATGAAAAAGTATCCTGTTCTCTTTGTTTTGCTTCCTTTGAGTGAAATCCCTGGAGTTCCTGCTAGTCCCTCTGCTTTCCTATTAAAAACTGACAATAAAAAGCAGAATAATACACCATGGTCAGTTCTTTAGCTTTGCTGGGAACTCAGTCTGCTCTCCTCCAATATTCACACTTGTCCTAACAGTGCGCCCCCCCCCATACTGCCATTCACTGGGAAGATTAGTGTACTGTTGTTTCTCCTTGCCTAGATCTTATGCAGTTGAGAACAGAGGGAATGTGATAACTTCTAATAAAAGGGAAAAAAGGTATTTTATAATTTTTTTAATTATCCATCGCTGCTTGGAACTTGAAGAAGGGGACATACTCCTAAAGCTTGTCCTGAAAAATTGTATGTTAATGCAAATAAAGTTTCACAAACAATACTCAATTGTCCTAGATTGTAAGTTCCAAGGAGCAGGGCCCTCCTATCCCTCTTGTATTGAACTGTATTGTTGCTGTATTGTCTCCCGTTATATTGTAAAGCGCTGAGCAAACTGGCGCTATATAAATCCTGTATAATAAATATTAATAATATATACAGAGATGTTTTGCCTTTTTCTATTTTAAACTGAATGGGTTGTTTTACAATCACTTTAATTTTATTCTACAGCCTATTGGACATGGTAGACCCCAGTATCAGAACATACAACGAACTTCACCATTCTTGCAGTCGGCTACAGGAGCATATGCAGTACGTCCACAGGTGAGTCAGGTAGAACTTTGAGACGGTATATATGTTTACTACACAGTCTAAGCATAATGCTTCTTTTTTCAGTTGTGTCTTATCTGTCAGAAGAATGTGAAGCCCCATGACCTGCAGCCCATGTCTTGCAATCATGTCATGCATATAGAGGTACGTATGATTAATATGAAGGGGATTTTATGTTTTTTGGTAACTCTAGTCACAATAATGTTTTAATGGCAGTGATGGGAAATCTCCCCAATGAACACAGCAATAAAAGCCTCATAGTTATCTATCCAAAACTAAACAAACAATTTGTCTTAAGTTGAGCTTTAAGACAAATTTCACTTTCTGCAGTCAGATTTGAGAAAGCTCTATTATACAGTATGTTTATGTGTTCCCTTTCACACAGCATGCCTAGATTTTTTTTTAAATATTTCTTATCTTTTAGATGTTTTTTGTATTTTTGCATAACGGGTAAAATGCACATTTTAGACCTGAAGCTTTGTTAAAACTCTAAACCTTATTATTTTCTGAAAAGTGGGACCCTAGAGAAAAAAATGGTGGTAGTTCCAATTCTTTCATATTTTATATACACAAATTTTCATTAAAAAACACACTAAAAATAATTTTTTCTATATTATATTACAGTAATTTTCCAATTTAAACCTATTTCGTACAATAAGAATAAGCTCTCATATCATTACATCTCAATATAAAAATACAAATACAAAAACAAAATACAATTTTACCTTCCCCCATACAAACCCCCCCCCCAATCTTTTTTCCCCAAGCTCCATGTTCTTCACCCCTCATGGAAGTCCTCAGGATTTCCTCTTCCACTTTTTTTCTTACTTTCTACATTTAATTATACATGTCCTCTCCTCTCTATTTCTCTCGTTTCAGCATATTTATTTGATCTCTTAAACTCTTCCCATTTTTCCCACCTTTTACGGAAACTGTCCATTGTATCTTCCTCTATATGATAAAGTTCCTCCATTCTATACATATAGTCCACCCTTCCTATCCAATCCTTTATTTTTGGTGCCTCTTGTTCCTTCCAGAACTTGGGTATCAGACCTTTTGATGCATTTATAAAATAAAATAACCCAGAGTTTTTATATTTTTCCACTGTAAGCTGAGTTCCATGAAGTAAACAGACCCCTGGGTCTTTTGGAATTTTAATCCCAGTTATCTCCTGAATCTGGTGAATTATTCCCTCCCAATACTCCTGGATTTTAAGACACTTCCACCAAATGTGTGCCATTGTGCCCCTCTTCCCACATCCACGCCAACACAAAGGTGAATTATTTCCACATTGCATATGTGCTACACTCGGTGTAATATACCACCTAGCTAAACATTTATATTTCATTTCCACCACCTTCATATTTACAGTCCCATGTGCTAATCTATAAATCTTCTTTTTTTGTTGCTCGTCTAATGATAGACCCAGTTCCTTTTCCCACTTCTCCATACTTTCATTCCCAGGTGGAAAGAAATCTGTGGCCACTATAGGCATCGGCATAGAGTTACATTTCCATCCCATTTGTTTGTGAACTGTATCCCAAATTTTTAATACATTTCATGTATAAGTGCTTGTGCTTTCTGCCAACCTACGATATTGACGTGGTAGCCATACTATCCTACTCAATTGTGCCTCACTTAGTGTATTTTCTATGTTTATCCAACTTTTCCCAAGTGCATTATGTGTCCTATCAAAAATACTTGATAACAATACGGAATAATAATATTTCTTAAAATCTGGTACACCCAATCCCCCATTATCCTTATCTCTGCATAGAACTTCATAGCTTATTCTAGGTTTTTTTTATTTCCTCAGATATACCTTGTTATAATTTTTGTAATTATTTTAAAATACATTACTGGAAGCTGTATAGGCAACATATGGAATTTATACAAAGGTTTTGGAACAATTACCATTTTTATCAAATTTTTATCATCCTATCCAAGATGGAGCTCTTGTTACTAATTTCCTTATTTCATCCTTAATCTCGTTTATTAATGGGATATAGTTTGCTATATATGGGTTCTTTGAGGATGCAGTTAAATGTATTCCCAGATGTTTTAGTTCCCTTTCCTTTAATTAATTTCTTAACCATATTAATTTCTTAATCATACATCACAGGACACAGAGTACTTTATATTCATGATTACTCAGGTTATGTTACCTCCTTCAGGTTAATGGAAACTGGAAAAAAAATGAAAGAATTCCCCTCCCAGGGATAACCCCTCCCAGCTAAACTAAACCTTAATTTTTAGCTAGTGTCCTTAAGTGATTAATATGCCTACAGATGTCTCACTGAATATTTCTTTTTATAGCCTTAATTCCCCTTTTCCTATTCTGGGCACCCTGCTGGGGAAGACAAAGGTTTCATGCACCCCCTCTTAAATCAGGGGATTTGGTTGTCAGAGGAGTGGACCTTGCCGGTCAACATCTAGGAGGTTTGGGTGGGATCTCTATCAGTAGGGTTTTCCTCTATTTTGTTTTAGGGTTTTGGACACGTTGGCCTGGTTGCTGTGTTGTCCACCTCTCATGTTCCTGCTTTGGGACATCCCAAGTAGTCATGGTTATGAACCCTTTTGAGTCCTGTGATGTACAATTAAGAAATTAGGACATTTGATTTATGCATAAAATCCTTTTCTTGGAGTATATCACAGTACACAGGGATCCCTTTCCTCTTTGTCTAAGTTCACTACTTGCTACAAGACTAAGGTTTACCTGAGCTGGGAGAGGTTATACCTGGATGAGGAATTCCTGTCTTTTCTTGGCCTATGTCCATTCATCTGAAGTTGGCAGCATAACCCAGGTAGTCAACCATACGAAGTACCCTTTGTCCTCCAAATATTTTGCAGGTAAACCAGAAATCATAGTTTTAGTGCACACAAATGCACTGTTACCCTTTGTTAATTTGCAAAATATAAAATTTGAGGTTGTTTCACATAAATAGATACTCAACACATGAACCCTTAAAATTGTGCATGCCCTTGAAACTTTGGCACTCAAAATTGTTCATAGTCAAAATTTAAAAGCCTTTACAGGTCATCAATTTAAAGTTAACAGTGACTGATGGTTGTAGGATTATTCTCACTCTGGCATATGTGGCAGTATGTAACGTGTAGTGCAGTTGTTGTTGTTTTCTTATATAGCTTCACTTGATGCATGTGTTTATATAAGTATATGTGTGTACATGGGGACGGGGCTTTTAAAATTTGTGAGGGTGTTTTTTTAACTTGACTATTGCTATTATAAAGAGATCAATAGCCCTCCATGTTCTCTTTAATGAGATAGGGGGTTTATTAGACTGCACTCCAATAAAGTTAATAGATCACTTAGCTGCTTCTGTGGCCCCAGCTGCTTTATCAGTGCCGCTTTTGTGATCATTCACTGGAGGAAGGATCAGCAAACAGAGGTTTTCTGAGCTCCCTCTGCTCTGTCCAGTGACACTGGCCATGTCTGTCCCAGACCCATAGTTGGGACTGCTGAGCCCAGGATACAAGGGATTGGTGTGTGTTCTGGTGCCTGTGGGTGGCTTTGCAGCTGTCCAAATCAATTTCAGCCAGCAGTCAGTTGAGAAAGTGCACACCAAGTCTTGTGTTGGTGGCAGTGAAAGGGTTAAAGGGAGTCTATGAAGATAAATATTATACCGCTAACTTGCTTTTAAAGGTTCAGGCTCTAGAGCGGTTATCTTAATTCTGATTTCTTTATTTAGACCCTGACATAGGAAAAACATGGCGCCTATTTGAACTCCTGCCCTGCATGCTCACAAGATATAGAAGGCAGGATCAAAACAACATCAGCACCTTTCAAAGGGGTACAATGGCACATATATGGTGGAGTTGCCAGAAAATACAGAATTATTGGAAGGAAATAACTAAACTGATTCAGGAAATTTGTGAGATAACATTTCAGAGAGATCCGTGGAAGTGCCTTTTCTATTATTTTGAGCCCCCATTACAATTTTATAAGAATAAAATATTATATCATTTAATTAGTGTGGCAAAGGGTTTGATTCCCAAGTTTTAGCAGGCTAATGAAGCACCAAAAATTAGAGACTGGATAGAGAGAGTAGAGGGAATCTTTAGAATGGAAGAACTGTATCATATGGAAGAGGACAAAGTGGAAAAATTTAGGAAAACATGGTTTAGTTGGATGAAATGTAAAACCTCAGAAATATATAAGGAATTGATTAGAGGGGGGAGTTTAGAGTCTAGAAATTAGAAGAGTCTTTGTAGTAAATATGAGAAAGAGAAGAACTTGACAGATAGGTGCGAGAAATTATTTAGATGGGGTGGGGGGGAGGTTGGTGGGGAGGGAAAGGGGAAAAGTTAGGGGATAATGGAATATACATGAAATGTTTTATCTTTATGATGGAATTGATGTTTCTTTTTTATATATGAAAATCAAATAAAATTTTTAATTAAAAAAAACATCAGCACCTTTCAAGAGCGAATGAGCAATGGTAATATTATCCCAGTAGGTTCACCTTACAGGTCAACTTTAGCCAAACTTAAAAAATATATTTTCTTTTTTTTTCAAATCCCTTCTTTAGAGTTTCTGTTGCTGTGTCCATATTAGGGATATCCCCCCTTCCTCCCCAGTGTGACCAGTACAAGAGATAAGGCTGTTATCAGGACAAAAAATAGCTGTCTGCAGAGTCAATAGCTAAAGACCTCCAAACTTCATATGGCCTTCAGATTAGCACAACAACAGTTTGTAGAGAGCTTCATGGATGGGTTTCCATGGCCAAGCAGCTGCATCCAAGCCTTACATCACCAAGTGCAATGCAAAGCATTGGATGTAGTGGTGTAAAGCACACTGCCACTGGACTCTAGAGCAGTAGAGATGTATTCTCTGGAATATCGAATCCCTCTTCTCTGTCTGGCAATCCGATGGACGTGTTTGGGTTTGGTGGTTGCCAGGAGAACGTACGTGCCTGACTGCATTGTGCCAAGTGTAAAGTTTGTTGGAGGGGGGATTACGGTGTGGGGTTGTTTTTCAGGGGTTGGGGTTGGCCCCCTAGTTCCAGTGAAGGGAACTCTTAATTTTGGACACTTTCATGTTCCCAACTTTGTGGGAACGGTTTGGGGATGGCCCTTTCCTGTTCCAACATGACTGCATACTAATGCACAAAGCAAGGTACATAAAGACATGGATGAGTGAGTTTGGCGTGGAGGAACTTGACAGCCTTCCCAGAAGAGTTGACGCTGTTATAGCTGCAAAGCTCAGTATTGAACCCTACGGACTAAGATTGGGATGCCATTAAAGTTCATGTGCGTGTAAAAGGCAGGAGTCCCAATACTTTTGGTAATATAGTGTATGTGATGAGGGATATGGCTGTTACTCATTTCTGCCAGAAAAGAGCACATAAAATAGGAGCAGGAACCAGTGGTGGGTTATTTCTTTCTGTGTTGTTTAAAGTGATCCTAAACACAAGCTGTTTAATTTAGATTATCCTTTCTCTTTCTGTATATGGATTATGGCAGTGTAATTCTTTAAATTAAAAAAAAAAAATCAGAGTATCTTTTTCCTAATTAATATGCAGCAGTCACATGACCCAGCTCTTTCCCAGCCTACCTGCAGGGAAACATAAGCAGGTGGAACTTCGGGCCACATGTTCAAAATATACAAAAAAAAAAAACAGTCTTTAGGATACAGAATAAAAATAATTATTATCAATAAACTGTTTTAAATTGTCATATGAATACATATTTGAAATCAAATCGTTCCTATTATTTGGCAGTAACATGGCGTGGGCAGATTTCTGCCAGTCACAGGCTGTATCACACCCCTCCAGCCTGTGTCTTAGAATAACAGGGAGGTAAAGCCTCCATAGATCAAGATGTAATATCCCACTCCTATTGTGTTTAGCTGGTTAGTGGGTATGGAGGAGGAGGGAGGAAGTGGGCTGTCATTTACCACTGTGCATACGCCCACATGTGTGACTCTGTAGTCACATGGGCTATTCAGATGTGATAGGGATACTGAATACACGGCTCACACAAATATTAAGCAGGAAACCTACGGAAATCCAGGATAATTATTTCATCATTACACCACTCTGCCTTATATGGTGCTCTGTTGGCTAAGATGACCCTAAATTGAAGACGCTAAGTGTTTTTTAACATGATTTTATTTTTTTCATATGTACACCGTGCTCATGTTTAACCTCCCTATGATCTATGTGATCAAATAAAGTATTGTTAAATTCATTTGAATTCACACTACTCCGCGTGGATTACTTAGAAACCTTCTTTTTTAGATAGGTGTGTTCTTGTCACACTATCATATTGTTTAGTATGCTGTTCCCTCGGTTTATGTATCCACACTTATATAAGTGAGTCGGAGATGTGTCTTTGACATTAACAATTAGTGTCATTTCTGGTGGCTTGCTCCTGCTTTGTTGTTGTGACTCTGTAGTCACATGGGCTATTCAGATGTGATAGGGAGGGAATGCTCAGCATAGAAAGTCACTGAAAACTGAGCAATGTGCACTAGCTGCCAACACTGCTCTGCAAAATCCCCAACTTCACTGGGGGGCATGGACAGGAGGGGGAGATAGAGAACAGCAGGACCAACAAGGATTTTTAAGGAATACAGAAGACTAATCCATTGTGACTGAGAGAATATAAACAGCAAGTACTACAGCATTTATTGATCATTTGTATGTTGTGGGTTTAGTGACATTTTAACTATAAAGTGTGTTTTATATCTTAATGGCTTTAATTTGTAATTCTTTCTCTCATGATTCACATTTATCATTCCACAGTGCAATCGATTCTGGACTATAACCAACAAAAACAATTCCTGCCCCTTCTGCCCAAACCAAAGATGACCTCAGTAGTTATGGAAGCCTTGTGATGCTGCTGTACAGGACATTGTCTAACAAATGCCCTTCTTTCAAAAGATAAGCTTTTTTTTAAGTTTGCATAAAAAATAAATGGTATTTAAAAGAATCTGCTTTGGCTTTTATTTCCAGACAATCACTTGAGGTCAGCATGAGTTTTGTATACTTTTCTTTTTGTTGGGCTTGTGAACAAAGTTGAACAGTTTAAAGCAACGGGAGTTACATAGTTTATCTGAAAAAAGACACTAGTCCATCTAGTTCAACCAATAAAAAAAACACAAACAGAAACCTCCATATACACAATCCTGTACCCACTGTTGATCCAGAAGAAGGCAATAAACCTGAATAAAGCATAATCCAAATCACCCCAGTGGGGTGAAAAAAAATCCCTCCTGATCCCCCAATAAGGCAATCGGATATTCCCTGGATCAACTTCCCCTACCATTATTACGTCCAAATAATATCTGGTTATATTTTGTTTATTTAGGAAGGCATCCAGCCCCTTTTTAAAAAACAATCTACTGAGCTGACCAGAACCAGCTCTTGAGGGAGTCTATTCCACATTTTCACAGCTCTTATTGTGAACAAGACTTTTCTGATTAAAAGTGTAAAAGCTAGACAAGAGCATATGAAATGGGAAGGAATTTTATTTAGCTCTTTTCAGAAATGTACTGATTTTAATGTGTAAAGCTAGTGATAAAAAATGAGGATGGATGAATCTTCCCAGCCGGCTATTGTATTCGGACAGCTATTGTATTCCAGTGATACCCAGAATACCCAAACAGTACCTGCATCTCTTCGGTTGACATTTTTCCATCCTTCTTCTTCGACAATAGTCGATTGGCCAATTGACTTTTGTTAAGCTGGGTGGAGCCAACAGGGCACCCACAGTTTAAATATCATCCAGTTCAATGTGCATCAGCTGAAATTGAGCCATACATGGTAACCTTTACTATTTTTTTCTCATCTTAAGTTAGTCTATTGTTAGACTTAATTTTGCTTATTGTATGATAATATTATCAGGTGTTCGTCTTGCACTGTCACACTCCTGTAACAGCAGTTCAAGTGTGAGTAGTGCTGTACTAGGTTTGAATACTTTGCCCATATAGAAGCCCAGGATGCTGGATTAACTTGCAACACTAATACCTTGGTGGAAAAGCTTGTAAGAGGAGATGGACAGGTCCTCCATGCAGAGCTGAGGGGCTGGGTTACAGTTAAGACATGAAGTATAGGGAAAAGGTGTCAGGGTGTACACTCCAATAAATACGCTATATTGAATGGTATTGGGAATGTAAGCCAGCACAGCAGCAGGATATTTTACCTTTCAAAAAATAAAGTTACAGATCTGGCTATAATAAATAAAAATGAAAATTTGTACAAAACCAATATACATTCCCTTTAATTATGAGTGAAATTGCAGCACACAATTGTAGCATTAAGGATTCTGTTGCTACAATAAAAGGAATGGGATTCCATGGATGGGGATGTAGTGAGCAAGACGTTCCACGGGGAAGACTTTATCACTGTGTTTAACAAAAGATGAGACATGCCAGGGGGAGATTTATAACTCCCTCATCTATCTGTTTAAAATATACGCATTTGGGTCACTTCCTGATAAATCCGCTTTATTCTTCAAACGGTGAACTTGCAGGTGCTGGTTGTTCAATGTGAGCAGTATCAGGGAGATTATAGTACACTAAGTCATGCACTGGTTGCTTAAAGGTGATGGTGCTAATCCTGGTGTAGTGTGGATGTGATTTGTCATGGTACCAGACGACATATTGGCTGTCATAGCAATGCTAGTTTAGTGCGCCTGTGCCCAATTTGCATGAATTTGATCTGTCTGCAAATTATGTTAAAGCCCTGTTTACACCTTCGCATTTAACGTATACATTTTTAGAGTGAAACAACACATGGTCATAAGAAGCAATGTTATTCAACATGGTTGCTCATGTTTCACTGAGCTGAGGTGGGAGACTGGCAGACAGATCCCATGCTTGCTTATTTGGGAGATGACAGTTGTGATTGCAGTAGGTCATCCAGTCTGTCTGATCACTAATTTCTCCTATACTGGTTATGGGTATCTGCAGATGGTCAGAAACATGATAAAGTCATCCTCCATTCCAGTCAAAGTCCACTGAACTGTTAACAGACATCTTGTATCTATGGCTACCTTTATTGAACAGTGTACTGGAGAGCTGTAACACAGCTTCCTGAGATTGGTGTTAATCTGAATCTCTTGTTATTTATTTATTACAGGTACTTATATAGCACCATCAATTTACACAGCGCTTTTACATATATATTGTACATTCACATCAGTCCCTAACCCTCAAGGGGCGTACAATCTAAAGTCCCTAACTCACAATCATACATACTCATAGTAGGGACAATTTAGACATGATCCAATTAACCTACCAGCATGTCTTTTGAGTGTGGGTGGAAACCGGAGGTTGTGCCGTGTTTGGGATTTGAACCAACGACCGTAGTACTGCCAGGCGGAAGTGCTAACCATTTTGCTATGGTGATGCCCCCCTTTAAAACAATGTGACATTTTATGATTGGGGTGAAGGGCTTCTGGAGCTGAGTAGTCCATGTTAGTTTATTAAGGCAGCGCATAGAGCAATGATTATGTCCAAGTGCAGTATAAGCCTATAGCAAGCATGTGAATGAATATATCGGAAGCAGACTGCTGAAAAATGGTTCCTTACGTTCTGTGATTTACATCACTTTGAACATTGCCCTTTGTTAAAATTAATGTGAAGGAATATTTTTTTGTAATAACAAACATGATATACTTACCTGCTCTGTGCAATGGTTTTGCACATAGCAACCCCGATCCTCCTCTTCTCAGATCCCCCATTGGTGCTGTCCATTTCTACCCCCTTCTGAGTGTCACCATAGCATGCTGCTTGCTATGGGGGTACTCATGCAGGCTCAAACCAGAGCTGCTCTGTGTTTGTCCATTGACATACACACAGCGTGGCTCTGCCCCACTTCCATTCTCTCTTCATAGGCTGTGATTGACAGTTACAGGAGCCAATAGCTCCTGCTGCTGCTGCCACAATGGCCAGTGAATACAAAACACAATCACAAACCCATCCAGCGCACTACAAGTTCCAGCCTTCAAATTCCAAAGTCTAATAGTCTGTAGAAATGGGGGGAGCAGATGGAATGAAAATTGCCCAAAAGATCCTGCAGCTACCAATAGATCCGGGAAGATCCAGAAACAGCTTGAAAAAACAAAAGAACAGCAGTGCAGGATCTACATTAGCAATACATGTAGTTTTATTAAACCATAACAAAAAATTGTACACTGACATGTAAAATGCTTGTCAAACAGCTCTGCTGCAGATAGAACATACTGTACATAGAAACAATTCCAAGTGTGTGAAGTAGATGACTATTCAGAATCCCTCAGCCGGCATAATGAAGGAGTGCGTTTGACAGCTGTCAAACTCCACTAATGGTCACTGCCTTGTGGATCTCTGTACAGTGTAAACTCTTGACAAACAGTTCTGTTGCAGATTGCAACATTGTAACAATTCCAAGTATGTGAAGTAGGTAATCATTTAGATTCCCTCAATTGGCATAGCAAAGGAGTGAGTTTGACAGCTGTCAAAACCCACTAATAGCTAGTACCACTGACACTGCCTCGTGGATCTCCAAACACTGTAGGAGAGGAGGAAGAGGGCAAGGAGAGAGCAGCAGTGTGTTTCAAAGGACACACCTTCTTTTTCAAGACCCACAATGGCCCCTGAGGAGAATGAAGAGAGTTGTTACTCTCAGGCAGTCTGGATCAAGATCAGGCTCAGGTAGGCAGGGCCGGTGCTTCCACTAGGCAAACTGGGCGGCCGCTTAAGGCGCACTGCCATTTAGGGGCACCTTTGTGCAGCACAGGCCAGCACTCTCTGTGTGTGACGACACCATGTCATGAATGATCCTCCAGCTGAGAGGAGGGGAGGAAGAAAGGACAGAAGAAGATGCCCGGTGTCAGGCCAGTGTAGCAGCTGAGCTGTCGACCCTTCCAGTGTTCCACTCAGACTCAGTCCCTTACTGAAAGCTGCTGATCACTGTGGAGTTCCAGCCCTTCTCTTCCCCTTCAGAAGCGGAGGTGGAGCTATGCCTGCGGAGGAAGGTGATGTCTGATGTCTGGTGTTTGTGTGAGTGTGACCCGGCCATCCATCACATATGCAATGTGTCAGTGGGTGATAACATCAACACGATCCCAAAGCCTGCTCTTCTTGTGCCTGCTGATCTGTGTCAGTCTTGGTGGTGTGTTGTGTTGGATCTGTCACTGTGTGGGATTGCTCAGTTCAGGTGTTTTGTGTGTGTGTGGCTGGGCTGCCTGCTGTCACAGCATTTTATCTCCCCCCCCCCCCCCCAATTGCCTGGGGAATTCCAGCCTGTGATCTGCCAGAGTGTGAATCCATCATCCTTCACTCACTGCAACTATTACCCTGCTACTGCCAGCAACAGATACAGTCTGACAGTGACTTTTTCTTTAATACTGGTGTTGGTGGCATCTTATGGCACTTATTTTTGCAAATTAAAAGAAAATTAGAAGTTTCATGTTTTGTTGATTTAATATTTTCTACAATTTTTAAAATGTTTTATTTATCTTTTTTTGGGGGGCGAAAGTAGCTGGTCTTGCCTATGGTGCAAAACAGTCTAGCACCGGCCCTGCAGGTATGTATAATTGGAGGTGAGCTGCATACAGGAGTTTGGCATCTGCCTTTAGAACCATGTTAACTAGCCCCCAAATCTGCCCTACAAGTTAATACACAAATTGCATGTCAAATAAAACACATGCATATGTTACCTATTGCAAGAATAAAGTATACAGTGTATCCAGCCAAAGCTTTACTTTTGGATAAAATAGGGAAGAGTTCAAACCCCTGTCAGTCAGAACTGGTATCCCAGGCTCTGTTGGAGAAATTTCCCCTCAACATTCTGTCCTGCAAACAATGTTTTACCGGATAGAAAGT